GTTCTAAATGTTTTGAACATATAATATCGTGAATTTTAATTAATTTAACATCTACCACTGTCTGTATCTTGTTGTCTTTTGCGGTATATGACGTGTTGTAAATACTATAATATCACAAATAAACAAGATTTTGCATAATGTCCGATCAGGGTAACAGTTGCATAGATACATGTCGGATGTAGTGGGTCTGTCCAGTTGTTGGTATACAACGGATGTAGTGGGTCTGTCCAGTTGTCCGTATACAAGCCCGATCGATACACCTAATACGTCATATCAATAATCGCATTGTTGAGCTCTGCATAGAAGTTTAAATTTTACACAAATGGACTAACTTATTGTCAGAAGACGCTGTTTACTTGTGATCATACGTAAAACAAAGAACGAACACAGGATGGTTTAAGCACGCAGTTGGGCTCGCGTTCTTTTTAAGAAGCAAGTACTGTAATTATGAAATTAATGTGCCGTTCAAAATCATTATATTCTAGCCTGATACAAACCAGAGAGAGTGCACCTGCCATCTGACAGTCCGCGCCGTGATCAGAAGCGTGATAACAAGCTGGCGTTTCGAGTAATCAATACAAAACTGAAGTAGTATACTAAAAATATGGTTGTACACCGTTTAAGTACCTTTATCATTTATACCCATTGATATTTCCCGTGATTCCTTTGGTTATATGGCCATAGTACACAATTAATTTTACTATATGTTCTCTACATTTGTTCCTCATTACTGAACTTTCCACTGTGTGACAATCAATACAAATCATATGTTAATCTAAAATACCTTCAAAGATGACTTTACGGTTTAATTCTTGTCAAGGGTTGACCTGCATTTTTTTGAGAGGCTGAATTGTAAACAAAACACCAGGCAACGGAACACAGATTTCACTTCCGGATCATCACCATGACCTTATTACTCAATGTGCACTGTCGCCGAAATACACACAGACAACCACACCATAAGCTCACATTTTAAAGAATAATCAATTGCCTTTAAATCCTTACCAAGAATGCCAAAATCTAACTCTAGTATCACCAACAAATTTAGACCGGAAAAAGTGATCTAAAAATAGACTGGGACTACATTCGTGGGTACTGAACCGGATTTTATTAATTGTGTACTGATTCCTGAAAGGGTCAATGTTTTTGTCAAACTTTTATATTTGCATTTTATTTTGCATGCCACTACTGTTTCAACTTCATACATAAAGTCTTTTGAAATTTCCTTGCAAGCAAGACATGTGACAGCTGTCAGAAAGTGTGTAGTGCTGGTGTTCTATAGGGTGCAATTTGAGGTCCAATTGTTCTTAAGAAACCAAAACTAAATTTGCTATATCTTCCTTAATTATAGGAATTTTTCAATGCAGTAAAAACCTAATTGTAATACTTGATAAGGCCTGTCTGAAAATAGTCTTGAAATTAAAAAATATTGATATAATAAATTTTAATGAAAATTTTAAAAAATATATAAATTTTAAAAACTTTTTATTTTACAAAAAATAAATTTTCATACAAGTTATGACATTCAGTTTGACAAATTTAAGGCAGCAATGTTGATTAATGAATGGTCTTTAAAACAAATGGTAGTTTAGGTCTGTACAACTGATAATATTAATCCCAGGGGTACTGAAGCATGATAGCTCACAGTGATTTTGACAGCAAATTGCAATATGCCTATCCAGATGCATATAGGTGTACATACTAAAGAAACAATGACAGGTACTATGTTCCACATTTATTGTTTCAGGTACTTGGACAGTTGTTTGTATAACTAATATCCCACTCAAATTTAAAGTTTTGATGGGACCACTACCATGTTTTATAGCAAATATGCATTCCATTTTAATGCCGATAACTACAAAAGTCAACAATGCAATATGAAAATACAGTTTCACCTTACTGAAAAAAGATGTGAATCTCTCTCATGAAGATATAAGCCATGTCTTTGAGATGCTGTATATCAGTGTACTGATATGAACTCATCTTGGTCACTTATAGCAGCATACTGCACATGTCCTTATGAGACCTTGCTATCACCATTGGACTACTGGAGAGCTTCCAAATTGATCCAACTCTAATACTTTGTTCCAAATACCAGACTAGACCTGAAAATATATAACATGTTTCACTTAATTCTAAAAAAAGGAAGATGTAGGCAAATGAAGTTAAAATGTGTTAGATATGGTGATTTCAAAATAACATTCAGGTTGCAAATATGGTTAAAAAAGGTAAACTTGATAGAGTGACACTCAAAGATGTGAAGCAATGGGCATGTATTAAAGTGACAAATGCATCCTAAAAATAGATGAAGTTTCTACAAGCATATTTAGCCATTTACAGGTTAGATAACTAATCAGGTAGAGTATGTATCATAAAGTTTAAGGCAATGTTGGAGCGGTGAGGTTTGATCATTGGTGCAAACATTGATAAATACCAGTATAGTGGAAAGTCAAATGACAATGTACCAAATTAAAATTTATTACTATATGCAATCCTATTCATGAAGGAAAAACAATTTTAGATATTGTGAGTGAATATAGCAAAATGTAGCCACACAGATCAACTATAGGTACCAATAGATCCTATATCATCAACTAAATGTGAAATTTTCATTCCGAAAACTTGTAAACAAGGATGGATATTTGCATGTGTGGGACATATGCAATGTACTTGTTAAAATCACATGTGCAAACATGATTCAAATAATCTGTTTGAACATTTTTAGTCTATTTTTAAGAGTCTTGGCTACCAAGTTATTAAGTTCAATGATTCAATGATTCAATGGAATCAAATATCAGCTGATGCTGCAATACCGCCCTCTGTCAAAGTACTAAATTGAAATGTGTTACCATACAGAGGCATATTCATGATGAAAATAACATCTTGGGATATTTTAAGTGCACACAGTCAAAACTGAGCCTTACAGATTCACTATAGGTACCAAGTCAACCAAACAATGTCAACTTTTGATTCCAAACATTACAAAATATATGCATATTTGTTCATGTCAGCTATGTAACCATGTTAGGATCAGTTGTAGAAAGTTAAATTCAAATAATCTGTTTGAATATTACTTATGTAATCTTTAAAGTGTCAGATAACAAATATTATTAGTCATTAATAATGCATAAAGCAAAATGGATCATGAGAATTCCCATAATATCATCTGGGCTACAATGTCGCACTACATCAATCAACATCTTAAAGAAACTAAACAATAAAATGGAATGCATTCTGTGTTCAACTTACATCATTTTGCTGTTTTTTTTACATGCAATGGTAAATATACCTGGGTAAAGTATATTTTACCCCTCTGACCTGTATTTCATTCTCTGACAGCTTAATATGATTTTGTAGAGAACTTGAACAGGTTCTAGTATAAAGTCTTCATCTCTGTCCTCTCACTAAGTACCCTATAATAATGGTTATAAACAATTACTGATAGCTATACAAGCAGATATGTGTTACTCAGGAAGTCACCCCATCATAAACACATAAATTAACTGTTTGAACCCCAAATAAATAGTTTCAATGACCTAAAGGTACAAAGCAAAGTAGAATTTTGTCTTCATGTATTTTAAATGAGGGTCTCATTTTGACTAATAAAGATATTTTCTTAGATCAAATTTGACAAATATCTATCATTTGAGCTTGTATATGGTGTAGGAGTATATATATGCTGATATCATTTAATATCATTCCCAAAAAATATTATATATGTGTATACTTGGTGGAAATTTTTTATTTTTTAATTGTTTTTTAAAATTTCATTTAAATTTTTAAAATTAAATTTTTTTTTACTTCTAATTTCATTTTTATATTTTTAAAGTCATTATACATAACATATTAAAATTTCATGTATATGTCATTAATAATAAAAAATTTATATCAGTTTCAAGTTTTTACTGACAGGCCATAGTACACAATTAATTTTACTATATGTTCTCTACATTTGTTCCTCATTACTGAACTTTCCACTGTGTGACAATCAATACAAATCATATGTTAATCTAAAATACCTTCAAAGATGACTTTACGGTTTAATTCTTGTCAAGGGTTGACCTGCATTTTTTTGAGAGACTGAATTGTAAACAAAACACCAGGCAACGGAACACAGATTTCACTTCCGGATCATCACCATGACCTTATTACTCAATGTGCACTGTCGCCGAAATACACACAGACAACCACACCATAAGCTCACATTTTAAAGAATAATCAATTGCCTTTAAATCCTTACCAAGAATGCCAAAATCTAACTCTAGTATCACCAACAAATTTAGACCGGAAAAAGTGATCTAAAAATAGACTGGGACTACATTCGTGGGTACTGAACCGGATTTTATTAATTGTGTACTGATTCCATATCAGGCAACGTCTGCTGTTCCTTTGTAACGCATTTCCTTTCCGCGTGTATTATATACATGCATGTTTTGGAGGAGGGGTTTATGCCAGTAAACTAATTTGATCTTTATAACACTACATTCATATCCCCGTTTCAAAACGGTGGTTGAAATTAGTATCCAGTAGTTAGTTGCAAACACGATTTTTTTAATAGGTCGGATCAGTGCCGGATTATCCAACAGGTAGAGTAGGCACCGGCCTATGAGCCCCACGCCTTTTAGGGGCCCTGCGACTACGGATAAAAATAATATTGAATTGATTTGATCTTGACGTATTAAGAGATAATTTGCAGGGGGGGGGCGAGATTTCGACATCATAGGGGTCTCCACAAGGTTTGTCCAGTCACTGGGTCTGATGCGAACGCTATTAATCGTTGTTTTTTTATGTAAATTTTGTTGTTTCTTTTTCTAAAGGGAAGGGGGGGGGAGATAACGCCATCTCTCAACGCAAGAAAGGCTATACATGGCCGCCAGTATAACTGGTGGAGGAAGATACCTGTGAAAAAACCCGGCTAAAACACCGAAGCATGGGTAGCTAATGGCAAGCTTTCTTGCATGTTCAAAGCTGTTAGTACCATTTCTTTTACGTTTTTCGTATGACAGCCGGGGTTTAAACACGCGACCTTCCGCATCCGAGGCGGATGCTCTAACCACTTGGTCACCTGAGCGGTCTCTTAAGTACAAAGCAACGGTTAAAAATTTTTGTAAAAATCCCTTTAATCCTTATGATATTAGTATTGTAGCAGTAGTATTGATAGTAATGCCTTGTAATAACAATGATTGAACAGCTTTCTCTGCAACAATAGTTTTCAAAGTGCGCATACAGGCTTCAGCTCTTGGATGAAGATTTTATTATTTTATTTTTTTATCTGTCGACGGAAATTAAAGAGTAAGTAGAAAGCCATTTGTAGCCAATGTCAGGCCCATATTATAATCTACAACCTGAATACAAAGTGAAGACGAAGCCTGGATTAAGGAAGAAGGGTTTACAACAAAACACTAATGATCGAGGTGTACATCAATGTAAAAGGCGGTAAGGATAACGTAAACTTAAGTTAGATATAACAGATTAAAAGTAAGATTAATCGACTATTGAAAAATCACTCGCCTATAAATTCAATTATCCCATTGCTTTCCTAGTTAATATCAAATCCATTAAAAAAAAGCAAATACGCTCCCACTGTTACAAATAACAACATTAAACGCTTTATTGTTAAAACAGAACAAACTAAACGGCGATATACATATAATAAATAAATCCTTGTAAAGTGGGAAAAACCTTATTTTACCCCCAAACCCTCGTATACCTGATCGAAATAACATTTCTTTGTTTTACTATATACAAAGTCCGTCGGACATACCAGGATAAATATAGAAGCGCGTTGCAAAAACGGAACCTCTCTTTAAATAAGCATATTATATAAGGCCACAGCAGATTGGCCGAATTTGTGGTGCACACTTTATCTAATTGGAAAACAATAATGGGTTAGTAAAGGATTGAAATGCAGACACAAACCAGTCAATCAGAATTGAAATCATGAAGGTTTACACAAAAAACAATAATAATAAATAAATATCAGTAATGGAACAAATTAATCTAGCCTCAACCTATAACAATAAATAAATCAAGTAATAATTGCTACTACTATACAAAAGTTACAATAATCATAACAATAAACTTAGGATAAATTAACAATAACTTCAATATAAAGAATGTGATTAGGAAATATTTATTAATAGTTGTAGAAAGTATAGTAATCCTAATCAAGGTCTTCTTTCTTCTTTGTTCTTCCCCGGGGACTCCGGAGGGCGCGTCCTATCGCTTCAAAGTTCCAGAAGACACAGCTCGGGGCCAAGCGTTCTCTTAAAGGGACATACGTCCAGCCCAGGGCCACAAACAGTCGCACGAATGCCATCAGGCAATAAGCGACTATAATCCAAAGTCAAAGGTACATAGTAGTTTCTTTTATTAGCCTCTTCACACTGCGATTGACTTAGTGCCGGATTTAGACGTAGCGAGGCGGGCTCTTGCTCTCTCCGTTACGGATCACTGCCATCTCACCTCTGTCTGCGTGGCTTCGAGTCTAAGATTCGGCGAATGTGGATATGTGAGAAAGCTGGTCAATAGTTTCTCTTTGATCGGTGGTTCTTTCCACGGATTTCCCGGTTTCTTCCTCCACCATTAATACTGGCCGCAATATATAGCCTATCGTGTGCCAAAAATGGCGTTAAGCCCCAAAACAACAACAACAACAACAACAACAACAACAACAACAACAAAACAGCGAGCGAGGCCTTAAGGTATGGGAAGCTGTAGAGGCTCTATTTGATATAAAATAAATTTCAGAGTCCCCTTCAGACTGTGAGTTCAAAATGCAAGGCCCTAAGCTGTAGATTGTATAGTACACACGATACTATTGGTATTGAAAAATGAAAACCAGCCTGGAAATGGGTGACATAAAATACAGTAAACATGGGTTGGGGTTGCCAGGACTGGTTAATAATGTAAGTTATGTTTTAGGGAAAATAATCTTTTGAGAGATAATCCTAGTTGTAAGTGATTTTTTTTAATGGAAGTTCAGACCTTTAACAGTCTTGAGTTAGGAACACTCGTTACTAATATTATCACCTGACTCTTTGGTGCGGAATTGAAAGCGCGTCTTTCAAACACTTGCAGGTCCAGAAAATGCCGCGGTCATATGTCCTTTCCTCTACACAAAAGCTGACATCCAGGTTTCATCTATACTGATAAATATAGGTTTGATGATGGACAATCAAACTTTTAAATTATTGATTTTCAATATCATGGTGTTTGCATAGGTTTACTATGGGAACTTAATTAGTACCGTGATTCATTTAGCTTATGCCTAAATCCGGCACTGGCTTGACTACATAGCCTGGTCTTCCTTAGCCAAGTGTAGACGACTCTATAGTATTTGTTATACAGTGGAGTGTCCGCAGGTAATGTGAGTGATCTGAGCCACTTTTTTTTCTGTGTGATTTCTTTTTAAACAAGTATATTGCTTTTTCTCAACATTAACTGCGCGTCTGGCACCGGTTGTTTCAATTGTTGTTGTTCTGGGTTTAACACTATTTGTCAGCAAATGATAAACTATGCATGGCGACCAGTACATCTGTTGGAGGAAGAACCCGGAAAAATCTCTCAAAGGACTACCGACCCAAGAGAAAGCTACTGGCAAGCTCTTTCTCACGCACGCGTTGGTTGAGCCTGAGACTCGAACCCACGCGGACCGAGTGAGACATCAACAATTCGTAAATGCGAGTTCCTTAAATCACTTGGCCAAACCCACCCAATCCCAGGTGACAACAGGTGCAATTAGCTACATATACCATGTTTGCGACTCTACGATACATCCCTTCTTCAATTACAGAACAGTAGTAGATGCAAAAAGAAAGTGTTTACTTACCATTAACTCAATTCAACGTAAGGAATCCTGTTCCATCTAAGAATTCAACATTTTCTTCTTCACACTTACATCCCATATAATGCGAAACTCAGTTTGGAAACACGTATACTATGCGGCACAAACTTAAAAAGGGAAATACGATTGACTCAAAAGGTTATACCTGAGCGTAGATGAGTCCACTCTGACAAAATTCGCGAAATTCGCACGTTTCGGAGCCCGTAACTTTAGTTTGATACAACGTAAAATAGTCAACGATGGCTTGATGGATAGAAAAATATCTCCGGAGTAAAACAAGCCATAGAATTTAATCGCGTGCGTCCTCGTGCTCATGCAATTAAAATAAAGTGTTAGCTTCATTTATATGTTTAAGATTTTTGAAAGACACATACAGTCACGGACTGGCAGTCGTAGTAGAGTCATACGCAGTCGTAGAATCGTAAAGTCAGTCATACAGCTTCTATTACCTTAAAAAAGGTATTTTTGTGCTAGAAGAAGTTGTCTGTTCGCATGTCTACGTAGAACAACATTTTTTGTTAGAGGAGCTAATTTTACTTCATTTCTTCTGAATAATTGCTTTCCTGGAGAACAACTTTACTGATTTGGACAAAGACATTTTCCCGATATCGTTCTTAATTGGAACGGAACAGCACACACTGTGCTTTATTATGTAAATTCTGGAATTTTCTGTTAGCCTTCGTCTGACGTGGTCATCCGCCATTTTGGACCGGAACTTCAGACACTTCAGACTGTGTTTAGAACTTTTTACAGGACTTATATTTCTATTTTGGAAAAAAAATTGGATCATTTCTGTAATACGTAAGTCTTGCTGAAATTATTTACATCATTTCATGTTTTCTAGGAAAATAAATTATTCTTTGTTAAAATTTACAAAGCTTGTTGTCTTCACTCTTTTTTTTATGTTACTTTGAACGAGCCGATACGTAACAGTATGAATGTAGTGGCTCGTGGAGTAAGCTATACGATTTGCTTTGCAAATCAAGCGAGTGCTGGAGTGCATGAAGTATGTGCAATTACATTGTTTTAAGTGTCGGTTTTATCAGGGTCTGTTTTCAGTCTGAAGGTATGTTGGTGGGTACATGTTGTTCTTATTTCTATGGTGCCAAGAGTTGGCATAGACAACGTTTCATCTAAAGTGTACTGGAAACTGATTGGGGATTGAAAGTAGTCCCCAGAATGTAAAGATATGGAAATAGTTTCAGATCAGTCTCATATGACCGTTTATATCCAATCACATTGAAGAAAACTCGGTAAATTCATAACAATTGGAATCATTTAAAATATCTTAGTGTATAAACGGTTATTATGTACTTTTTTAAAAAATAAAAGAAATATTGTAAATGTATATTTGAAACACTTATAAAATTACGAGCGATTTACAAGATTTCTTGCAAACGGTGTACTACACAGCCCTCCATCGATCGTGTTTATTTAGGTTTTTCAGTGACACATATTGTCTATGAAAATTCATTTGTGCTTAAATCAGGTTAAAACTTTGTTTTTACTAGCAAACAACAAAATTAACAATGAAAACATTAGGTAATGCAATCAATTTTATTAAAATTACAATTATTTTTTTTGTTTACGCATTTTAAAGCTTTATTATGTAATATTTCTCCTTGATTTCTCACGAGGTGACCCGACTGGGATGAAGTGTTTATCTTTATCCCACTGCGCGAACCTTTAAGAGTGTAATATTTCTTTGAATGCCTTTATATTCCCTCGGCTGTTAATGTGTTTTCTGGAAACGCAAATGTGTAACTGCCGTCTCACTGATACATAATGACATTGAATCAAAAACCAACAGCTTTGTATCACAGAATGATAGATGCGGGAATCTGATAGAAAATGCAAATGTCATCGCAATTGGCGTCCCGTTGAGGATTATAGACTGCTTATAGCTTCAAAATATTACCCTTCTGAGTTCCTATGAGCCTGTTACATTTTGTTCGGGAACACCCTTCTTCGTTCTTAAACAATTTGCATGTAGTTGCTCTCTTTTTTTTCCAGTGAAACGCATTTTGTTTTTAGTTTTGTTTGTCGACACTTATGAGTTATTTGTTAACACATTTTCGATTTGTACCTTTCTGGATACAATGGACTATTTGCAAGCATACTTTTGAAACGTGTAAAACACAATGATGTTAAAGGCTTCGCAAAAGTTGTGTCAACTTCACAAGTATTTAGTTGTTTATGAATACAGGCATATATTTTCAATAAGCGTGC